TTGCCACTCTGCCGGGCTTAAAGTGAGCCCTCCTAGAGGAAGAGAGGAATAGCTCTCACTGCTGGCTGAGAGAGATGCGTGGCTGAGAGTCCAACCCGTGGCTGAGAGACTGACCCATGGCTGAGTGACTGAACCATTACTGAAAAAGAGATGCCTGGCAGAGAGATTGCAGCAGTGGAATCAAGCGGTATGAAACAGAGCAGCAGACTTATCTGGTCCATAGAGGCAGAGGCCAGGACAAAAGCCAAGGACCACAGAGGCATGTCTAAGGGCACAGCAGAGGGGAGAATGTCCTGACCAAGGAACTGAATACTGAGCACATTCCTGAATTTGAATTGTAGCCTGTTGCTTCCCTAATAAACTCCGTAATATGTGAGTGGTGTCTGTGAGTTCTGTGTGGCCACTCCAATGAACTGTTGAGCCCAGCAGGGAGGTAGAGGTAGTGAGTGCTGTGGGAGGGACGACTGGTGTCAGGGTTGGTGAAGGGGCTAGAGGGAGGCAGCATGTCTGGCCTTGAAAGAATAAGCCTTGGGCTGCTGACAGTGATTCTATCTTCCTCTTGTAGGGTTAAAGGTCAGAATATGCAGCCTCTCTGACCCTTTAGCAGAACCCAAAAGAAAACCACCAAAACATATCATAATCAAAGTCAGCAAAACTAAAGACAAAGAAAGAATCCCAAAAGCAGCATGGGAAATATGAAAAGTTACTTACAGACGGAAACCAGTAACTAAGCTCTGATTTCTTGGCAGAAACGATGCAAGTAAGAAAGCAATGGGATGATATATAAAAAATTCCCAAAGTCAAAAATTACCAGCCAATAATTACATACCCAGCAAAATTATCCTCGAAATGTTGTCATTGTTGTTACTGTTAGGTGCCGTAGAGTTATCTCTGTCTCTTAGCCACACTCCGTACAACAGAACAAAACACTGCACAGTCCTGTACCACCTCCATGATCCCTGCTATACCTGAGCCCATCACTGTAGCCACTGTGTCAATCCATCTTCCTGAGGGTCTTCCCTCTTTTGTTGACCTTCCATTTTACCAAGCATGATATCCTTCTCCAGGGAATGGTCTCTTCTTTAAATGTGAGACAAAGTCTGGCCATTTTCGCTTACAAGAAGCATTCCTGCTGCACTTCCTCCAGGACAGATGTGTTAGATCTTTTAACAGTCCATGGTACTTTCAGTATTCCTCGCCAGCACCACAACTCATAATTATCAACTCTTCTTCAGTCTTCGTTCGTTATTCAGTGTCCAGCTCTCACATGCATAAGAGGTGACTGAAAATATCATGGCGTGGGTTAGGTGCACCTTAGTCCTCAAGGAAATATTTTTGTTCTTCAGCACTTGAAAGAGGTCCTTTGAAGCAGATTTGCCCAGTGCTATATGTTGTCTGATATCCTGACTGCTGCTTCCATTGGTATTGATTGTAGAGTCAAGTAATAAGAAGTCTCTGACATCTTTAATCTTTTCTCCATTTATCGTGATGCTTCTTATTGGTCCAGTTGTGAGGACTTTTGTTTTATTTGTTTTCTTTATATTGTGTAATCCATACTCCAGACTGTAGTCTTCAATCTTCATCAGTAGGTGTTTCAAGTCATCCTCACTTTCAGCAAGCAAAGTTGTGTTATCAGCGTATTGCAGGTTGTTAATGAACATTATCAGTGCAGTGGAATGTCACATTCCAGCTTCTTGAATTATTTGCTCAGTATACAGAACTGAGTAAGTATGATGAAAGTATACAAAACTGACACACTCCCTTCCTGATTTTAAACCATGCAGTATCCCCTTGTTCTGTTTAAAGGACAGCCTCCTGGTCAATATATAGGTTTCTCATAAAATTAAGTGTTGTGGAATTCCCATACTTTTTAACGTTATCCATAATTTGTTATGATCCACACAATTTAATTCTTTTGCATAGTCAATAAACCACAAGGTAAATATCTTTCTGGTATTCTTGCTATGAGCCATGATCCATCAGCTATGATATCCCTCGCTCCATGTCCCCTTCTGAATCCAGCTTGCATTTGTGGAAGTTCTCTGTCAACATACTGCTGCAATCATTTTTGAATGACCTTCAGTAAGATTTTACTTGTGTATGATATTAATGATATTGTTCAATAATTTCCACATTCTGTGGGATCACCTTTCTTTGGAATGGGTACAAGTATGGAGTTCTTCCAGGCGTTAGCCAGCTAGCTGTCTTCCAAATCTCTTGGTATAACTGAGTGAGTGCCTCCAGCACGGTATCTGTTTCTTGAAGCATCTCAACGGGCATTCTGTCAATTCCGGGAGCCTTGCTTTTCACCACTTTCTTCAGTGTAGCTTCAACTTTTTCCTTCAATACCACTGGTTCTTGATCACGTCACCTCCTGAATTGGATGAACATTGACCAATTCTTTGTGGTACAGTGACTTTGTGTATTCCCTGCATCTACTTTTGATGTTTCCTGCATCACTCAATATTCTGCCCACATAATCTTTTAATACTGCAACTCGAGGCTTAAATTTTCCTTCAGTTCTTTGAGCTTGAGAAATGCTGAGTGTGTTCTTCCCTTTTGGTTTTCTAACTCCAGGTCTTTGAACATTTCATTGTAATAATTGACTTTGTCTTCTCAAGCTGTTCTTTGAAATCTTCTGTTCAGCTCTTTTATCTTGTCATTTCTTCCATTTGCTTTAGCTACTCTCCATTCAAGGGAAATTTCAGTCTTTTTTGACATCTATTTTGGTCTTTTCTTCCTTTCCTGTCTTTTTAATGTGATTTTGCTTTCTTCATGCATGATGTTCTTGATGTCATCCCACAACTCCTCTGTTTTTTGGTCACTGGTGTTCAATGCATCAAATCTATTTTTTAGATGGTCTCTAAATTCTGGAGGGATATTTTGACTCTCATGAACTTGTTTCAATTGTCTTCAACTTCAACTTGAACTTGCATATGAGCAGTTGATACTCTGTTCCAAAATTAGATCCTGGCCTTGTTTTGGCTGAAGATACTCAGTTTTCCCATTGTCTCTTGCCACAGATGTAGTCAATCTGATTCCTGTGCATTCCATGTGGTGAAGTCCATATCTATAGCCACCATTTATGTTGCTGAAAAAAGATATTTGCAATGAATAAGTTGTTGATCTTGGAAAATTCTGTCATGTGATCTCCAGCATCATTTCTATCACAAAGTACAAATACTCCAACTACCAGTAATTCACCTTTATTTCCAACTTTCGCATTCCAATCACCAGTGATAATTAGCACATCTTGATTGCATGTTCAGTTAATTTCAGACTGCAGAAGTTGATAAAAATCTTAAATTTCCTCATCATCGGCTTTGGTGCGTGGTGTATAAACTTGAATAGTAGTAGTATTAACTGGTCTTCCTTGTAGGCCTAAGGATATTATCCTATCACTGATGGTGTTTACCTTCAGGATAGATCTTGAAACATTCTTTGTGATGATAAATGCCATTCCATTCCTCTTCAATTTATCATTTCCAGCACAGATCATAGGGTTGTCTGATTCAAAATGGCCAAAACTGGTCCATTTCAGCTCATTAAAACACAAAAACACCCTGCCACTGAGTCAGATCCAACTCATAAAGACCGCTCCTTGTGCTTCCGAGGCAGTATCACTACAGAAGTAGATTGCCCAACCTTCCTTCTGGGGAGTGGCTGGTGGGTTTGAACTGCCAGCCTTCTGGTTACATTATTAGCAAGCTATCCAATTCATTGATGGGCCACAAGCACCTCACATTTCCATAGTTCTACCCAGTCATCTGGTGGGAGTCACAAACACCAAGGCTGAAAGAGCCAAATACAAGAAACAATGGTTTCCCTGACAGTGGATATCAAGCAATTGCATTACAGCTCAAGTTCTAAAGCACTTGGGATGTGGAAGCTTAGAGTCTAGAGTGAGAGCCCTAACTACATTTTGAGTCTTGGGATAACGTCAGATGTCATTTGAGTTCTTTCTGACCATTAATCCAGCAGTGAGGCTATGGGCTATGTATAGATAAGCAGGGAACAAATTTAGGAAGGGGCAATTTGTCCTCTGGAAGACTGTGGCTGAAAGTAGATGATGTACACATAAGTTACAAAAAAAAAAAAAACAAACCCAAATTCACTGCCATAAGTTGATTCCAATTCATAGTGACTCATACTGGGATGCTAAGGTTGTAAATCTTTACAGAAGCAGACTGTCTCATCTTTCTTCTATGGAGCTGCTGGTGGGTTCAAACCAACAACCTTTTGCTTGGCAGCCAAATGCTTTAACCACACTACAGCACCAAAGCTCCTTAAATTAAGGTTGGGGTCCTGGTACTATCTTATAGCCACTTTGTCACTAGGTCACAGGTCATAGGCTGCACAGTCGTAAGTCATATCCAGGCCACCACACAGCCAAGTAATTAAGCCCTAGAACCAATCCTGTAACCCTTTTTAGTCTTCAATTATGTACATATCTCAATCATGGCTCTTTCCCAGGTTCTATAGTGTGTGACAGCTGAATCAATCTATCAGCAATTATAATTTTGTGATGATTTCCTTTGTTTTCAAAAAAAAAAAAAAAAAAAAAAACCTCACTGCCATCGAGTTGATTCAACTCATAGCAACCCCTCCTTGGAATTCCGAGGGGGTATTTCTACGCAAGTAGACAGCCTAATCTTCCTTCCAAGGAGTAGCTAGTGGCTTTTAATCACCAGCTTTCTGGTCAGCAGTCAAATGTCTTAGGCACTATGCCACCAGAACTCCCTTGTTTTCAATCATACATAATTAACCCCATGTCTAGGACTCAGTGGACTCCATCCATGTGAACAGGCTTGATGGTTTTCCTAATCCTGAATGACTGTCTTTGTTTTGTGTTTGTCTTGTCTAAGGCTTAAAAAACAGGTCTCTATTGAACCTGTTTGAATCTGGGGTCCCTTTTCCCAGACCACAAAATCAAGGATGATGATTCCTGAAAGATGAGAAATGAAAAGAGGTGAGCCCTTAAAATTGTTCAAGCATACTACCTTGAGAGCATTTCCAGGCCATTTATAAGCAGGGGCAACTGAGCAAATCCCAGACAATTTCCCGAGTTGAGGAAATAAAGCTGAGAATCAAAAGAGAACAAGGCAACTAGAGTTCACAGGACAGACTTCTGAAGAAAAGAGAACTGCTCAGAAAAAGAATCATAAAGAATCACAGAGATCCATGTCAAGTATTCAACACAATATTGCTAAGTACATGCATATGAGGAACTCAAGGCTAGGAAAAGAACCATTACAAAGGATTAAATATAATAAGACCTGGCATTTACACAGGGCTGGAAACAGTGTTCATTCCCATCCATCAGACTGTGAAAATTAGTAATTCATGGGGCATTTGGTATATTACTCAGGCAGATCCTGTCTTAGTGGTAAGGAATAAATAGTACTAAACTAAGCAATGCTTCAGATTTGCCAAACAAAAGTAATAATCTCTTTATAATAATTTAATTGCATCCCAGAAAAAGTTCAAGAATATATAGTAAAAAAAACCCAAAATACCCAGCACTCAACAAAGTAAATATCACTATGCCTGGCATCCACATAAAGGCATAAAAAGAAGGAAAAAAAAAAAAAAATTCTATCCAAAACGGGAATAATCAATTGATCAAAACTGACCTAGATGTTGAAATTAGCATACAAGGACATTAAAGCAGTCATTGTAAGCATATGCCATATGTTTAAAAGAATAAGTAGAGACAAAAGACATAAAAAAGACCCAAAATAAACTCCCAAAAAAGAAAACTGTATCTCAGACAAAAATTACACTAAATGCAATTAACAGCACACTAGAAAATGCATGCAAAAAGATTAGTGAACCTAAAACCATAAAAACAGAAACAATCTAAAATGAAAATTTTTTTCCTATTATTTGTCTTTTTAAAAGATGACTGACTGTTTAATCAAAAATAATATTATGGAGATTGTAACACATATAAGCATCAAATGATGAAACCAAGAGCACGAAGGCTAAGAGACGAAAAATGGAAGTAAACAGGAGTATGTATTTATTATACATGAACCAATATAATATCAGTTGAAGGCAGACTGTGAAAAGTTAAAAATGTATTAATAAAATCCTCACAGCAACCACCAAAATAACAAAAGAGTTATATAACTAAGCCAACAAAGGAGATAAAATGGAATCATAAAAGATACACAATTGGGGGACTTCCGGGTAAGATGGAGGAATAGGCAGCAAGCGACACAGACCCTCTTCAACAAAGAAAAGAAAAACCAATTGACAGAGATACAGAAGATAATCCTGGAACCCTGTGCTTTGAAAGGAACTATACAGAAGTGGATTAGGCACCAACTAGTGGAAAAACCTGAACAAAAACAGTAAGTACAGAGACGGTCGGAGCTGTGGACTGTCAGCTTCTCTGATGAGACCAACAGCCTGAATATTTCCAAGCGGTGTCGGGACCTGAGAAGTGACGTAAAGATCCATCCCGGTCACCAAGGGCTGCAAGGACAACTGCTCTGGTGTTCTATGACTAGTAAGGGAAACAGCAAGGAGGGAGACAACCTGAGCTGTGGACTTTCTGCTTTCTGGAGGGTACAGCCATTTTGAGTGTTTACATGTGGCAGCCATTTTGGATATTTAAAGTGACCGAGGGCACAGCCATTTTGAATGTTTACAAGTAGCAACCATTTTGGATTTTAAAGTGATACCATTCTCATTCGGATTCCAAGGACCTAAGAATAGGCTCTGTTTGCCAGGGTCAGCAAGGACATACGAGAGGCTGACAAAGGAAAGGAGACAGGTGGTGAGTGTATAAGTGCTGTCAACTACTGAATAGAGGAGCACAGCACAGTACCCTGCCTGTATAGATAACATACAAATAAAACAAAAATTGTGGGCAAGTCACTCTAACATATAATCATCAATTAAATATAAACACAAAAACGTCACAACGCCTCAGAGACAACAGAGCATCACAGTACACACAAAGAAGCAAGATAAAGCAGGAGAAACAAGGGATCAGGATACAGACCCAAAATATCCCTGAGGAAGACGGAGCATTGGAACTCTCTGATAAGGAATTCAAAAGAATTATCTTTAGGTATCTTCGAAGGATTGAGAGACAGACCAAGGAAAACACAGACAAAACCCTAGAAGAATTTTGGAAGAAAATACAAGAACAAAATGACAAAATAAATGAAAAATTAGAAATGATTCTAAATCTACAGATAGAAATCCAGAAGATTAATACTAAATTATCAGAAATAGATAACACATCAAAAGGGCAAAGGAGTAGAATTGATGCAATGGAAGACAGAATTAATGAAATTGAAGACAAATACCTGAATACTTCTTTGGAAAGGGATCAATCAGAAAAAAGATCAAAACAATATGAAGAAAGCGTAAGGTTCATGTGGGATACCATCAAAAGGAATAACCCACATGTCATTGGAATTCCAGAACAGGAAGAGAAAAATGAAACCACTGAGAAAATTGTCCAAGATTTGTTGGATGAGAACTTGCCTGATATGATAAAAGATGAGAATATATCCATTCAGGAAGTCCAACAAACCCCAAACAGGATAGACCCCAAAAGAAAAACACCAAGACATATCATCATCAAACTCACCAAAACCAAAGACAAAGAAAGAATCATGAGAGCAGTACGGGAAAAATGAAAAGTTACCTACAAGGGGCAACCAATAAGACTAAGCTTGGATTCATCGACAGAAACCATGCAGGCGAGAAGACAGTGGGATGGTATATATAAAACACCATTCTGGTTACCTAGTGCCACTCTGACAAGAATACACCACATGAACCCACACTCCAGAACCAAGTTGGTGAAGGCCTGGCTCTTTGAAACCTAGGGGGCTGTGATTGTTCCACCCCCAAAGGCCATGGTCCTACCCTTAAGGCTGAGGCAGCTCTGCTTCCATTTCCTTGGTCTCTCTGCTTCTGCCCATTAATGCCTGAGGGCAACTCACTTGCCAGGCATCTTCTTGCCCCAAAGGACATTTAGCTTTCTTGCTCCATGGGCCGGCCAAGCTGCTACTCCATTTTATGCCTGTCTTCTCTCCTAATTAAAACCTGAAGGCAACTCACTCCTCCAGGAAGCCGCCTAACCGAAGGCATCAAACTTCCTCCTCCGTGGGGCTGGTAAGGCTGTCGCTGTCTCATGCCAGTTCTCTCGGCACTGCTCCTGCCATCTCTCATGCCAGTCTCTTGCTGTCTGTCCTGCCTCTGTCATGCCGTATGCCAGGGTCTCTCTGCCAGGGTCTCGGGTCAAGGATGCACTCCACTCCTGTTTCCACATTTTAGGTATCTGTCAGAGCAGCACCCCACTCTCTCGGTACCAAATTCTGTACTGGTTACCTAGTGCCACTCTGACAAGAAATATACCACAAATGGGATGGCCTTAACAAACAGGAATTTATTCTTACAATTTGGAAGCTTTAAGTCCAAGTTCAAAGTGCCAAGCTCTAGGGACTGGGTGAAAGCCCCTCAACCTTGGGGTACAGCTCTGCCTCCTGCTCCTGGCCCACTGGAGCTAGACGTGTTTCTTCACTCAGACAGCTGTTGGCTGCTGAGGCTGAGAAGCCCCAAGGTTGACAAATAAAAAGGGCACAGTCCCAATGTTACCAAACCACATGACAGGCCATTAACTTAAATCCACTGTAAGTCCCAAAGTTGGCAGAGCATAGCAGGCTACTGAGCAACAACACGGCTACATGCAGGGTCCAAGCGTGTCACAGGCTAGAGACCATTCTCAAAGCTTCTCCTTACACACAGGAAGCAGATCACATACCCAAAGGCAGCTACTCAGCTGCTCCCAGTAGATTCCACCATGGAGTTGCTTACCAGTCTCATCATGGGAAATACTATATCCAGCTGCCCAGCCACTCAACCGGGCCAAGCCAAGTTGACATACAAACATAACCATCACAAACACTGAAAGAGAAAAATTTCCAACCAAGAATTATGTACCCAGCAAAACTGTCCTTCAAATATGATGGTGAAATTAGGACATTTACAGATAAGCAGAAATTAAGGGAATTTGTTAAAACCAGACCAACCTTACAAGAGATGCTAACGGGAGTCCTTTGGACAAAGAAGCAACAACAGTCAACAACAACAACCATTAACACACATGATGATATAACCCAGAAACCAACCCAGCTATGGAAGTATCCAAAGTAAAGAAGCCTACAAGATTATAAATAGGGAATCAGAGACAGCAACTGACAAATGAGGACAACTACAAACCAAAAAGAGGGGAAAAATATCTGTGTTGTTACAAAACTTCTAGATGGTAGGGAAGTCAAGACAACTACAAGACAGAACGGACTGTTCTAAACTTGGGAAGAAAACTATAAATCACAGGGTAACCTCAAAGAAAAATGATAAACCTTCACATAAAAAAGAGGACCAGCATAAATATTCAGCAAATATTAAAACAATAGCAATGAAGGAAGTGATAACATGATTCACAGACAAAACAACCTCAGCACAGAAAATTATGTGGAACAAATAAATTGACACAATGAAAAAGCAATGACAAAAATGACAGCAACATATTCATATTTGCTGATAATTACATATCTGGCAAGGGACTTATCTCTAAGATTGATGAAAACTCCAACGCCTCCACACCAAAGGAATTAACAATCCAACTGAAAAATGGGCAGAAGACACTGCCCTTTTGGTGAAGTGTCTTGGTGAATAGACACTTCACCAATGAGGATATTCAGGTGGTCAGCTAATACATGAAAAGATGCTCACAATCATTGGCCATCAGAGAGATGTAAATCAAAACAACAAAGAGATATACCGTCTCACCCCAGCACTGATGGCAAAATTCAGTACAACAGACAATAACAAATGCTGGTGGGGATGTGGAGAGATTGGGACTGTCATACACTGATTGTGTGACTGTGAAGTGATACATCCACTGTGAAAAGCAATATGGCGATGCCTTAGAAACCTGGAATTGGAGATACCATTTGACCCACCAATCCCATTACTAGGTATATAACCTAGAGAGGTGAGAGCCAGAACAGGAACAGATACATGCATGCTCATGTTCATCACAGCACTATT